TTTCGAGTAATGTTTTGAGTGTGCTATTTAGAACAGAAGGTAGCTTGTGGTAGTTCTGTGTTGCTTCCAGAAATGCTCACTTTAATGCTGTATTTGTAAATAAGCTCAGTAGGCATTTCAGGCCCTGTGAGACCCGAAGCCTGGAAATTTAAAGTGGGTCCCTGGACTCCAGTTAACTACCATTTTGCATGCAAAGACAACCTTTGAGGATGTAAATCTGTTGCCTCATTCAAAAGAACATGCAGCTGACCTCAGGTGGATGGGAGCACGTGTCAGTTTCTGTTCTCCTTCATTTCTGTATCAAAGGTTTGCATGGAATGAAATTATTGCAGTCAGGATATGATTTGAGGAATCTTCCATCAAATCTGCCCGTGAATTGTCAAGCTACTGCGTGCAGGGTGGTGTCATAATATAGAACAATGACTAAATGTCACCTGCGAGGAAGAAAAGGTAGCGGGGGAACCCTTTGTCAAGGTAATAGCTCTGTATTCACTGCTGAAGGCAGAGCTGTCTCAGAGGAGTGGGTCTTTCCAGCTGGCTAAGGGCTGCTGCAGTAACAGGCATTAATAGCTCCTGAAGGCAGATGATGTGGAACAGAAATCACCTCCCTACATATCCTCACAGGTGCTCTCACCTTCTTAAAGTGCGAAGGGCTGCTCCCCACTGTGTCATCCTGCTGGTCATCTGGCTGCATTGCGCTGGCCACGTTGCGGTGCAGTAGCATTTTTGGGGTGGATGAGAGTAGACAAGTGCTTTAGATCCAGCAGGCACATGCAACCGAGTGATGTGGAGCAGTCTGTTTGTGGGAGTTAAGTGCTGTGTCTTGGATAACACCAAACGTGATACGCAAGGAATGAAATTTTAACTCTTAGGTTGTTCACATCACAGAAATACATTTTAAATCAATTTGATTTTTTGGCTAGAATTACAGTTGTTGCTGCTTCTGTGGTGACAAGCACAATCACTCTTGACACTGCTTTGAAACACTTAGAAAATGGGGAATAGAGTCAGCATTCAAGGTGATGGCAGGCAACTGTTTCTCAGACTAGCTCTGTGATGCAAAAATGACTAGATTACACTGTTGTTACTGCTCTGATGGACTCCCTAACAGAGGTCTGTCAAATAATTTATCTTGGAGATGAAAAAAGGAGCCTGACTGCAGGAGACCTGCTTTGTCAGTGTTCTGGGAAGTGCTTTCGGTCTGTGCGTTTGTTACTGATCTTTGAGGTGAGTAGATGATACGCTTCTGGCCATTCTCACTTGATTAGAGATCTTCACTGTAGATGAACTTAAATGCTAGCAGAAACAGCTGGAAGAACTAGGAGCTCATACTAGAAGTTAATAATAATCTGAGTGGAGATGTGTGCTGCTCTCAGGGACTGGGCCCAGCATTAGAGTGGAGGATTAGTGGAAGTCTAGTTGCAAGTCAAGACAGAGGCAGCCATAGCCACAAGAGGAGATGAATGTTTTTTTGAAGAACAGCAGAGTAGGCTGGGCAGTACTGCAGGAGACCTTGGATGGGAAGCATAAGTTGGATATGGGAAAGAAATAAATCAAGCTAGGCTGGACCTTGGAGTTAGCTGGATAGCTCGTCAAGCTTTAACTAGTGAATGAAGGAGACAGTGCACGATTCATTCTGTCTTTGCCCATCCATGCAGTGCACTGTCTCAGCCCATTTGTATATGTAAAAATGCTGAAATATTTCCTATTAATCACTCACACTCAGAGTTTCTACCATTACTACAGAGATGCTAGTAGAGGAGTTGGTACATCCAGGATGGTCATCTGTCTTTGTTCAGTAGCATTCAGTGGTGCTTTGGTGCATTGGTGGTGCTTAGTTTAAAACAGAATGTAAATTTGTTTAAGTTTTTATGAAGATGATGTTAAGTGAGAGAGTGCAGGTAAGCTTGTACTTTGGATTCCACAATGTGGCCTTTGGATTCACAGCTGTGAAGAATGTCAGTGCCAAGAACAATGTAGTCCAATGTAGTTGGAGGTTCATAAATAGTTTCCATGAAGCATTGAACCTTTCACAGGGTAAGAATTACAGATCTTCTCTACCTGTGTCAGCCTGAGGAGATATCCTCTTCTTTGGAGTGGAATTGGGTGCCACGTCTCTATAACAGAACTTCCTCATGAAGGCTACTGATTTCGTTATTTACAGCATGATTAGGTGATATAAGGAGATACGCTGAATAATGTAGTGGACAGGAAGCTGCTGACCCTGGTAATGCAAAGGCAGGTGTTTCGGTACTTCACGTACCATTGAGGAGGCAGTAGTATTACCGTGATAAATTTAATGAGTCCTTGTTTTTTGGGTTTGATTTCTGCCTCTAGCAGTGTTTTTATTCCATGTTGCATAAGTGTATCTTGTTAATCTGTAAATAAAATGAGTATGTAATAGAAGTGAAAAATGAGTTTACAGAAAACATATTTTAATGCAGGCCTAAATGATTTCCCTTAATGTCTATTTTTAGCTGGGTGGGTGCACTCCTTTCCTTTCGTAACCCAAAGGCACCTCTCTCATTTTTTTTATGCAAATTAGGCCTCCCCCACCATTAAATCATTTTTTATTGACTATTGAACCTGCAAAGAAATGGACTGAACTTTAATATGCTACATTACCATACCATAAAATACAATTTGTAGATTCTGTGTTGCTGCGCTTCCTCTAAATAATTGTTATTACTGAAGGAGATTTACAGGCACTGTTGAAAGAAAGAATAAGTACTCTCCATTTTGTATGCACTGAAACACTGGCTGTGTGTGATTTCACATCTAAACCCCTTTGCTCCTTATTTTTTTCTGAAATGAAACAAGTCACATTATGGTGTTAGTTGCTAATAGAGCTTTTAATATGGCAGTATCCAGAACTTCTGCTGACTTCAAACAGTGCCAGGATTTCACCCCTTCTTCTGTGCTGCTGAGTTTGTGCTAACTTTGCAAATGAAGTGTTTGTCTTCAGGCTGTGAATCGTCACTTTGCACATCCCCATCCTCATTATTGCCACATGCATGGCATCAGCTGCTATACAGCACTTGGCAGGAAAATGCTCTGTTCCTTGGGAAGTACAAGTAAAATACTGTCCTCCCACAAACTTTTGAAAAGGCAGCACACATGCTCAGCTTGACAAGGTACATGGCCTTGCTTTCTGTTATTATAGATAGCTGCATCCTCTTGGAGCCAGGGGAAGGGATGCATGCTGAGATTTTATAATGATTAACCAGAGAGAAATAGTATATGAGTCACTCTTGAGGAGTATAGCTCTTACCAAGGAACTAATGTTTTGCTCATGTTGACAGCCTTGGAGAATGACATTTATCTATCGCACAACCTAGGGATGGCTAAGAAATATTCAAGAATTTTCCTGATGATGTCTCACCCTTCTTCTGGAAGGACTACTTTAGAAGTGGAAGGTTGTTCAGCCATGCTGTTATTTCAGTACACTGTTGTTTTCAATATGCCAGTAGAAGTGCTATTTTTGGTCCCAGTCTCATGTCAAATAGGCCAAGGAGGAGCCTCTCCATGGTCAAGCAGGACTGCCTTTTAGATGCTGTCCTGCTCACCTCTACCCAGCAAGCTCCATGCCAACATGCCAAGTCCACACAGTCTTTTGGGTCTCCCAGTGTTTTGAAACTGGCAGTTTCAAAGCCTTTTAAGAGGAATTTTCAGGCCAATCCCCCCTTCACAGAAACTTCCTGAGAATATTCACTACCTTTAAAAGTCAGGGCATTTAAGGTTGTGTCTAATTTCAGAATTATTTATCTAAATCTGGAGTCTGAATTAGCCATTTCAAATTGGACTCTTGAACTGTCAATACTTACTGCATTACCACATCAGTTTAAAAAAAAAAACAACAACAAAACCTAACTTTGAGCTTTTGCAGTGATAACACAAACAGGTTATGGACCAAAAAGCAATGGCTGCTGTATGACGAAAGAGTTATTTTATATACATATGTGCATGCGTACATGCATGCATATATACATGCATATATCTAAAAACATGGTTTCCCTTTTCAGTTACGTGTGGCAGTGAAAACTGAGTATCGCTTTTGAAGCCTTCTGCCAGGATTTAATGCATAATAAATCTAGAATTAGAATAGACTATTTCAGTTGTACGGGACCAACAATGATCATCTAGTCCAACGATAATACAGTCCAAATCCTGAGAAATATTAAAGTTTAACTATGAGATATGTTATGGAATTTATGTTTAACATGAGAAATTACTTGATTAACACATTTACAGTCAAGTACATTAGTATGCCTGTTAGATTTTTTCTAAGAAAACCACTAAGATAGTTGCTGATAGTTGAAGAAAGTAAATGACTGAGCAGTCTCTTTCAAGAGCTCTCTTTTGTTTTTCAATGGAGTATGTGTGAAGAAGTAAACATATGAATACACAATATAAGTAAGTCTCTATGATAAAAGCCTTTTGATTTTAATAGTATCTGAAAAAGAAACAACTATCTCATAAGCTAGACAAATAAGCATAACGAAACACTTTCAATCACCTTTTAAAATGTGGAAATACTCTTTTAAATAAGTTAACTAATGTCCAGCTCAGTCAGATGCATCCTATTACTCTGACATGTTTAAAGTTCTCAGTAGACAGTGATGGCTTATTCTGTTCTTTTTTTCCCTAGATTATTTGGAAATACTTATGATGGCTCCAAGTGGCTACCAGCCCTGCTTCCTTAGGGCTCAGTTCAGCATTATTTACATTCCTGATTGAGGAATCCTTAAAGCCGTCCTCTGTCAGGACAAAACCTAAAGATACCCATGAACATCTGTATAGCACCCTTAGCATTAAAAAAAGATCCATTCAGTAAATCCACCTGTGACAGTAAGCACTAACTGTAGTAGTAAGCACTGTGCAGGATCATGGCCTCATGTTTCAATATGCTTAAGGGAGATGATGTGCAATTAATGGGTAGAAAGGTCTCTGACTTAGTTCAACTAATGGTAGGGTGTTTTTTGGGTTTTGTGTTTTTTCAGCTGAACTCTTCATGGAACAACAGCATCTCAAAGAAGCGGGCTTTTGTATCCAGGAGGCAGCTAGTCTTTTCCCCACATCTCATGCTGTACTGTACATGCGTGGGAGGCTTGCAGAGATGAAAGGCAATTTGGAGGAGGCTAAGCAATTGTATGATGAAGCGCTCACAGTGAATCCAGCTGGAGTGGAAATTATGCACAGCCTGGTGAGTTTGCAGGGGCTCAGCTCCATTATAGTATTTATGTTCCTGATTAACTGTAATAAGAGGGGAGAGGGCTCATGCTTGCTCTGGATGCCATTGTCTTCCTAATCCTGAGAGCAAGTGACTGTTCCAAGAATAAATTGGGTAGCTTGAACCTCTATTTTAAGACTGGATTGAATGTTTTTAACTAATTAGGACTTGTGTCAAAAGTAAATATTTTAATTGATAAAGACTGATAGTTTTGGAAGTCAATGCACTGTTTGTCTTTGCTGCTTTTCCTCCTAACTGTTATGCATTTTAAATAAGCAGCACGCTGGTGTTTGAAAGATCTGAACTACATAACTATAGAATATAGATATATGCGAGGTTTGTAAACTTTGGGGTGGAGGCTTGTGTCTACTGTGAGTTTACAATAAAATTAATCTGTTATTATCTTAAGCTGTGGCTTAGCCTCAACCTTGTGTAGGGTCACTAACCCGCAATTGTGGTAATACCCCTATAAAGCAAGCATTTTTTCTGTTGCACTATCCCCAAAACAAACTTATTTACAGACACAGGGCCTAGAGCTTAATAATAATAATAATAAAAATAATACAGGGAGCTTTGTGGAAGATCAAAACACACTTCTTTTATGAAATCAAAACAGTTAATCATATTCCATCAATGATGTGTCTTGTTAACTGTATCCCTTACTAGGTCTCTCTGGGATTTTAGAAGTCTTTCTTGACTAATTTAATTTTTACAGGAATTCCACATCCATGTGATCGCTTTGTGTCTTTGCTAGCAGATTTGTATCTCCTGGCATAAGCTTGGTCCTGATGAGGTTTGCACACAACTTCAGAACTGAAGGGGTATCAGTGCATAAGAGGACAAATGTAAAGTGAATTTATTATTGAGAGAAAACAGCTGAACCTACTGGCAAGGAACGGGATATTTGGCAATAATGAACATTTGGTGCAAAACCAGCAAATGAATAGCTGGTGCATATGTCAGGAGAAGGTTACAAAACAGCTATGCACATATCAGGCTTACATGGGGCAATAATATTACTTTGTTGCTGTGATCTAACCTTTACAAAAACCGGCAGGGTAGAATGACATTCTTTGCTCAGTTAGTGTCATGATTTCAGACAAGTCACTGATACCAAAGTAGACATCGAGTTAGATGCCAACAGGATACTAATAGCTTTCATTTTTGTCTTATTTTACGGGCAGAACCACATACTGTGTCTTCCCATTTCAGTTGCTGCAATTTCCTGAAACTATAGTCATTTGGAATAAAAATTTCTGAGATTCACATCTGCTCTGGCCCAGTTTACTTTGGAAAATGTCACCCAACATGGCTTAACTGTTTAAGTTAAAGAACAGACTTCAAAGGCTTCTGTGACATCTTCTTCACTATACTTTAGTGTCTCCAGGTTTTGTCAGGAATGAGTGGTCTTTGTACCATATTGGTGTGCTTTTTACCATCCCTAAGAAAATCCTCCTAGGTTACCCAAGTTATAACCTTTAAAAAACACATTTTATACGTGCTTAGTAGATAGGTATTTCTGAAACCTGTAAGGAGTCTGTGAATGCTCTTTCCTCTCAAATCCCAGTAACCTCCATCATCTCTTAGTCAAGGGACAGGAGTAAAATTTAGGAGAGGTGAAAAAGACAGTGAGATGGGGATTTGGCTGCAGAGACTCAGTCCATAAGCGAGAAGATGAAAGATAAAATTCAATAACAAAGTGAGAGAAATAAGGATAGATAGAAAATAAGATACAATAAGATAGGTAACATTGGATAAGACGGGATAGATAAGAAGAATGAGAGTGGGTTAAGGAACCAGGCTGAGACACATGGATTGAGGGATGGGCATGTTGGAAAGGATGAATTAAAGGGGTCGGTCATGAGAGGGATGAAGGAGCGTGACCCTGTAAGAGTACTTCTGCTCCATAGCCTTTGGTCTCCTTAAAATTCTGAATCTTCCCATTCTGGTTCCAAGAAATATCAGTGAAAATTGCTTGCCTAAGGATGTGCCTCATCTCCTCTAGCTTGGCCCTGCTGGCAGCCTATGGTTTACACCTGTTAGCTAAGATAGCAAAGGTCTGGTCTATCCTTGCTGATATGAATCATGGCAGTAGTTATAGGATGCCACATAATAGCATTCCTTTGTATGCTTTTCCAAAAGCTAGGAAATTGCACATAACAAGTTAGAAGCATCTGATGAGCACTATAGAAAAGCCTGTAAAGAAATTAATCATTCTGCCTTCAGAACAGAGCTGGGATAATGTGCAGTAAACAAGGCTTTTAGGGGTATGCATCAAATAAAAAGGGCAAAAATAAAATACTGAATGGCTGCTAGCTAAGTGATTTTTGTCCTGTGTACTGAATGAGACAGTGTCCCCATAGAGAACTTAAGACTGGGTTCATGCAATGAGGATATAATGTAACAAATGGTAAATTCTGCATCTCCTCAAGGCCATCAAAAGAAGACTTTCTGAAATGTATACATTAGGCAAGTACTAGCTGTACTGTTATTAAAAATACGAGTTCTTTAGCACAGTATGTTCAGTCTCCTACCAGAGGGAAATGTATGTCTTGGATTATGCAAGAGGCCAAACTAGATTATCAACTAGTTCCTAGTGGCTTGAAACTGTGCAAGACACATACACGGGCTGCTGAAATTAAATTCACACATGCTGTTTCAGTGCTGGTCCCCCCAAACATTTGAGTACATAGTTTTCCCACTGTAATAATACTGTTGTGGTTACATAATAACTTAGGGAAAGAGGGTCTGGTTATGAGAATTACTGTTTGACTTGGTGTAATTGCCATCCAACTGACCTAGTCCACTTTAAGGGAAAACTGTGCTGTAGACAGTGCCCATTCTCCCTGGTGTATCAGCATCAATTAGCAAAGTAGTCGTGTCTCTTCCCCTGGGTTCTCAGAACTGGGTTGTCAAAGCTATATTTGGAAAATTCCAACCTGAAGAGTGTTGCTGGCTTTAAACGAAGGGCACAAATCTAGCAATGAATGAGTCCATCAGGTGTCAATAGCTTCACTTTTACACAGAGTCACCACTGTAATAAACACGAGCTCTTTTCTCTGCATAGCTGAAAAGGGCTGCATTTTACTGTGACTGTAGGATGTTTAGAGTGGCTGTCAGATCAGCGTGCTTTCCATCTGAAGCACGCTGCTGCCTGGAAGAGCAGTGCTGTAGAGCAGGACTGCGGTGCTGGCTGCATCTGATGAGGTGGGGGCTGCTGGCAGCTGGTGTCCCACGCTGTGGTAAGCAAACCACAGGCTTATTGGAAACACCACGTCGTTACGCTGTTTCTCGCTAGTGCTTGCAGTTTGTAAGTGATGCCACAGGGTCCTTAAGAGCCTGTATTAAGAATCCACCAATAGCCTTTACAAAATAAATGCTACTGGCTAATACCTACTCTAAGGACACACATTTGCTTTCATTTGGAAAAAGCGCATAGAACCATTTTGGGGAGCTATTTAGAGCATAGTTATGTACCAAAGTGCTCCTGGTGAGGTGTGGAGCAACTCCTTTGGTTGAACAACTGTTTGCTTTCAGAAACAATTAGTTTGACTTGGTCCTTAGAAGCTGTACATACTGTCAGACCACAGCTCTCTTTAGGAAATATGACTTGCTAGGGTATTTTTTTTCCCACATTTCTCCTTGTTCTGTCTCACACATTTCTGTCTTCCCTGCCTTCACTAGAACAGCCCTGTTCTTTTTTTTTCTTCTTCCCTTTCATAGGCTCCTTCTGGGGCCTGCTTGCAAAGATCATAGAGCACTTGTCTCTCCCAGGTGGCCTGGAGTTTCCACTGAGTAGGTATCTTCACTGGTCCAGAAACAAGAGCTTAGCCTGTATCCCCTTGTCTTACACTGTGACTAGCCAACCATGCTGGATGCTAATCTCTGACAGCACATTCCTAAACCAAATAACTACAGCATACTTCTTTCAGCATGTACCAAATTTGGTTATATAACATCATGGTATACACAGCTTTGGGACGGTGATAACAAAACTGACATGTGCCCAACCAAGTCAGAAAATATAACATAAGCCAGGGAACATAACACCTCCTTGTAAAGCGATACACAACTCCACCTACCTGTATGTCAGTAGAGAAAGATACTGAAATTTGCTAGTTCCCAGCCACAGTGCATTCACTACTATTCTCCCTTTTGATTCAGAGGAGGAGAAAAATCAATGCCAGCATGTTGGATTGGAGTCCTAGAGCTCCATACATAATAATGCAAGATAAACTAAAAAGATACTGAGATATTCAGAAGACTCCCTCCCAGTATGCATCTCACATAGCACATTCTCAGCATGTTTTAGTTCAGGGAAGAAGAAAGAGGATTATGTATTTAAAATGAAAGGTAATGGGCACCCTCGTCTCCATCATTCTGCCAGATTTAATGAAAGCAACAAAAAATACCATAAATTTTTTTTTTGCTTGACTCATACTTGAATCTTAGTGATTGCAGTGGAAGATTGTAATGATTCCTCACTTCTCTTGAAGGCTGGGGCAAGGATGATAAGGTTGTTATCAGAATGCTATGTAGCTGTCTGCACTGCCTCATCTCTGTGCTTGATAGTGAAAGAAAGTGAAATATATATTGGGTTTTGTTTGGTGAGTTTTTGTGAAGGTGAAAATGGAAAGCAGTCTTTGAAAAGTACGTCTGTGTTCTGTTGTGACCACATACATAGGTGGAAAACATAATCTAGTAAAAATGTATTTGATTCATTCCATAATCAGTTCAAGTAGAACACATAGGTTAACATGGTGTTGTGGTTTAGCCTCAGCTGGCAACTAGGACCACACAACTGCTTGCTCACTCCCCCTGATTGCGATGGGAGAAGCAATCAGAAGAGTAAAAGTGAGGAAAAACTTGTGACTTGAGATGAAGACAGTTTAATAAGTAAAGCAAAAGCTGCACACACAACTGCTTCAAATACAGTGTTGTAGACTCAGTGCCAAAAAACCCCCTCACTGTCC